ATATTGGGTTTTCTTCTGTTCTTATTCTGATCTGAAATTAGAAAAAATAACTCGCCCGATGGGCGAGAAGTATAGTATCTGTTATGTACTGATTGTTTACTATGAAGAATATTTTCATTTAAGTTCTTATTTTTTGAATATGCAACTATCATTTTCTGCTTATAGACATGGGGGAATTTCTCTTGATGGCTCTTATAGTGGCCATGAACTATCTTGCTTGCTCGATTGCTGGTTGTATTAAACGGGACAACAAAGGGTGCTATGCCTACATTATGATGAATATTTAGTCCTATAAGTCTTTCTGTATTCTATGTCTCAATCCAATGGGCTTCCCTAGATTGACGGAATTTGGTAGTTTCATCTTCGGGCAAGTCAATTTCTATACGCTCAATTGGGATTAGGGTGAGATCGTCTATTGATTGGTCGTCGAGATTGAAATGATTAGAAACAGGCTTGTCTTTCTTTAATTTGATGTCTGACGTCGTTTAGAGCACCCACGCTCTTTCAGTTTTGAGAAAACAATCGTACAGACTTGGTTGAAATCAGAAGATCTTGTACAAATTCGGTGAAATCGTAAAACTTGTGACTTAATTATACCATAAAAGGTATGTTTTGGGTGAAAGGAGCTCTTGTGCAAGAGTTGATGAGTATCTGTTCAAAGAATAGAATAGAAAAGATAGAATAAATCCAAACCATAAATATGTCATCCAAAAAGCGTCCGTAAAAAACTGGGTCAAATGGACAGAGGGGCAACACCTCACGTTCCCATGAAAAGGTTTGCGAATCGTTTGCCCATTGCTGTCCCTGAAATTTGTAAATATGTTTTACCATTGAATGTGAAATCGTTTCGACTAAGACAAATCTCTAAAAGCTGTAGAATTACATCGTCGGGTCTGTTTGGATCTGGGTTTCTATTGAAAGCTTTACGAACTGCCGTTAAACCAGTAGTGTTATCGATATTGGTATACATAGAAGAAACGTCGATAGAAATTAAAATACCATTAGAGGGAACTCGAAGATTTTTTATTTTATTGACAAAATCGGTTGTGTCTTCAAGGTAGGCGCGATGTTGACATGCTGGAGGTAGTAAGAAATGATCAATGTATTCTGGTAGTAAGAAATGATCAATGTATTCTGACACTGCATATGACTCACTATCACAGTCAGATATAATCGGACGGCCTGTAGGGATTTTATTCGAGATAAGCCACTCCTTGGTTGGATTCTTATGGATTTTAGGCAAAGTGTACAAATGTCTCTCGCAACAATCAGGTTTTGCAGACAGATAGTCATATTGTTTCTGTTTGAGATAACTAGGTTTGACTAAATCGGCAAGAATATTGTTAATCATATTAGCAGTTTCTTTGAAAATTGGTTTCGGTAAAATGGCATAATGTTTAGGATTATTCAGTTGGTTCTCTGCTTCTGAAACGTTCCTCCTATTCAGAATGACACAACATGAACCTTTGTCACTCTTTTTAATAACAATGCTATCGTCTTTCTTAAGTAAGTTGTGTTATAGAAAGGTTCGCTGTTTGGCTATTCATATTCGCAAATGCTTTCAATATTTCAGGATGGTTGGCGGCCTGAGGGGGTGTCAACGTGGATTTAGGAATAAACATTGTTCTAACACCACGTGGGGGGTGGTTTCGAAAAAAATATGTGCAGCTAAGATTTCGTTGAAATAGTTCAATGGATGGTTGAAGATAATTTAAGTTAGCTATCTTTGGTGTGGGAATAAACTTAAGTCCACGGTCTAAGATTGAATGCTGAAGGGGTGTGGGAATTTTGCGGCTCGAGTTAACTTCAGTTTGGCCTAGCGGTGGCCTCTCAGTATTTTAACTAATTGGTTTAAAGACTTACTCGATGCTTGAAGCTGGGGTATCCAAAACAAATAAATGCTGTTTGCTGTGTCTGGAGACCAATGAAGATTATCAACTGGTTCGAATTCTTCTTCGTAGGGTGGTTAAATTGTTGCGCTGTTGATACTGGACTCCATCATCATGTTGTTGAGGGTGCTGAGGTTCTGATGTGCTTTCTTCGAGATTTTATTTGAAATGGGTATACATGTGAAGAGGATCTTGGAGTTTGGGAAGGTTTTGTTGGCTGTAGCAATTAATTTCTGGGCTTGGTTAAAGGAGGTCTTTGGTAGCTGATCACGGTTGTTGAGGCCTACATGAAACTAATGGTAGTAGGTTTGGGATCATGGTCGTATGAAGACGAGTCTGAAAGTGAAAAGAGAAGGGGAGTGCCCTCTCTACGAAAGCGTTTACCTATGTCTGCTGGACTAGGAGTAGGTGAACTTTGGGCTCGTTTAGGGGTTTGGTTCGGCAGCGTGGTGGCTCTAAATGGTGCAGGTGTAGTGTCCATTTCAGTTGGTAGAGATATGGTTACTCTGGTTATTGTTTCGTTGATTGTTTGGTAGAATTTGGTGATTATAGCTTGAATGAGACGTTTCCCATAGGAGCGACGGGCCCAGGACAGGGCATGAGAAACGATGCGGTAGACGGCCGGTGATGATGAAGATTTGGTACGAATGGTGGTCAGCTTCTCTTGAAGTGTGGTTTGGTAATCGTCCTGCGTAACCTTAGAGAGCCATGTCCGATTGAGGGATCCAATATTCGCGTCGACAGCTGATGTTTTCATTGCTGGACGGATAAAACTATCCAACTCAGAGACTTTGATGAATTTGGGTTATTGATTTTGATTTTTAAAAAACTTGGTGGTATTTCTCAGCATAAATAACTGGCAGAAAATATACGTATAATTGAATTCAAACTATTAAAATTTCTTTGATATGAGAAAATTCCTACTTTAGTCACTAAAGACTTTTATCATTTCTGACAGCTGCCAGTGGGCGTATGTTACCTTGCCTGGCAAGCTATCTTCTATTTCGATATATTATGTCTTTTCTATATATTACAGTATAAAGAAAAGATAAGTCGTCTTTTTTAATTTTCAAACGCAGATAATTCTGGACACGCTTGGATTTGAAGGGTTACATTTCCATGGCGAGCTGTGAACTCTATTACTGATTAAACAAATTCCCTTTACTGAGACTAAGATACGTTTGGTCAAACGGATGTGAAGCTGTCCCTTTAAAATTGAAGGAAGCGTTAGAATTCTGTGATTCTTTTGATTTTTTTTGTGTGGAAATATTTTGTTTTGTCAACTACACATATTAGTACCTTTCTGTCAATTTTCGCATCACGATGTTGGTTGGCTTGTAAGTGAAAGAATTCCCAATTATTCAATTTAGACCGCAATAATCTCTTTGCCTTACTTCGGATTAGAAAAATTAAATGGTGGCCTTTGGTCTGCTGTGCAAAGGTTATTAGTCTCTAAGGCCGAGAATATGGGATTGTGAAAGCAACGGTTAGATTTGAATTGTTTTCGTACTGTTGCATTACTGTTTTTGTAATGATTTTATTCGTCTACGTTTTCTCAGGAACGGCAACACTACAGGTACAACAAAACGGACTTCATGACGTTTTCTTACTTGCAACTAATCACAGGATGAATCTAAAACGAAAATTGAACGTCAGCAACAAACAGAAAATAGACAATATCGACCGATCTTTCTCGGTGTTCCTTTATTTTACTTCTTGTTTCTAAATAAAAATGATAGCGGTTGAAAATTTTCGATTTTCAAATATTCCGTCTATACTTTTTTTTGTCGAAATTAATCGAATTATTTCTCCTGCTTTTTGAAGGATTAAGTTTAAACTTAGATATGCTGTTAGCGACAATAAAAAAAACATTCAGTCAAAAAATTTGAATCACTTCCGGTTTCGATGCTGGTATCATTTAAGGTTGAAGTTATGAGTTATGACAAAAGTAACATATGCAGAATATTAGTATCTTTAATACAAATCTTTTAAACTAAAAAATACGTACCGGAAGTGAAAAATATGCGGCCATATTGGTTTGCCTCATTTTGGGAACATTCCTATTCAGAAGCCATTTGTTATCTGATTTGTACAATTTTGGTGTCAAAGGATACATTGATCAATTATCTATGTCGTCTAGCAGTCCGAATTTCGATTTTGCATTTTATGTATGACCGGGTGTTTTTTTGCAAAGTTTGAAGGCTTATAACTCATGACCTGACCTTTGATGGCCTTCATATTTACCAGGGTGGTAAAACCTTTTAGGGTGATTGACCTTCTCGCGACCTTTTGGAATTTGGGGTCAAACCACAACTTCTGATTTTATAGGGGTCTAAATATGGTCAATTTTGCATTTTGCAGTGCTATATCTCAGACCCTAATTTATTTAACTCCAAACGACATTCAGGTTATCAATGCACTTCATAAATGGTTTCAATTAATACGACATTTGAAGATGTCAAAGTCACACGAAAGAAAATGTTGCAATTTCCAAGAAACTTTGAACGCTTCTATCAAAGGAACTTGGCCTCGGATGACGTTGATATTTACATGAATGTTTACTATTGACTTCAGCTTTTACATGATGTTGATATTTTATTTAATGCAGACTGCATTTTTTATCCGATTGTTATCAAACGTAAATGTTTAAATGTAAATAAGCTATCTTTTAATTGCAGGAAAGTGAAACTGGTATACACTTTTTACTAAAATTTTAAGAAACATTTTAAACACATCCGGCATCTGTTGTCATCAGTTTGATTTCTAATTAGCTTAGCGAAATTTTCAACAGAATTCAAATGCAAACATTCACGGCTTTAAAACAATATATCCATTCATATGAATAAACAAAACTAGTCAAAAAATCTAAAAATACAAACACACAATATTTAGACAAGATATAAATTTTACAGGAGTTAAGAAGATTATGTAACAGGTCATAAAGTCAAATGGTGTTAATTTTTCACCTTTGTAGGTCCGAGTGGAATAACCAAAAATACACTGTTTATTGTATAACTAGTTAGCTGATCTCTTAGTAGTGTTTTTAAGAAATACAAATTACAAAAGGTTTCTTGGTATCTATGCATGACAATTTTTTCCTCTTTATTTCAGGTTGAATTAGCATTATGGGATACAGCAGGCCAAGAAGATTATGATAGATTACGACCACTTTCTTATCCTGATACTGATGTTATATTAATGTGTTTCTCCATTGATAGTCCAGATAGTTTGGAAAATATCCCGGAAAAATGGACCCCAGAGGTGAAGCACTTCTGCCCAAATGTGCCTATAATATTGGTCGGAAACAAAAAGGATCTACGCAATGACGAAAACACAAAAAGAGAATTGATGAAATTGAAACAAGAACCTGTTCGACCCGATGAAGGAAGAGCCATGGCTGAGAAGATCAATGCGTATTCTTACTTGGAATGCTCTGCTAAAACAAAAGAAGGTGTCAGAGAAGTATTTGAAACAGCCACTAAGGCAGCTTTGGCGGTAAGAAAGAAGAAAAAGGGTGGATGTGTTGTATTGTGAAATATACAAAACTGATATGGAGTAAATGCTATATTTGTATGTTGATGTAGATAAAATTTCTACAAAATAGGGTTGGGGACAATATTTCTGGTTGCATAATATATCTTCTACTACTGCTAACAAGAAAGTGTTATTCCTCTTTTTTGTGCAATTTCAATTTAAAAAGAAATAATAATATATTACTGTATGTGTCGATGTAGGACTTTAGTTTAGAACTTTCTGTCCAAAAATTAAAACAAAAACAATAAAAAACAAAGAAGAACACTTTAGTCAACGATAATATTTATAAATCTAATGGCGAACATTGTTATTAGTATGTTTTTTTTCTGACAGAGGACATTGAAAAACCAAAAAGTTCTCCGAAGACTAATTTAGTAGAAAAGATTAATATAATCATTTGCTTGTGCTAAATCAAGAACAAGTAATAACATTATTGATTTTAGTTATTATTCTGATAATATTTCTTACTAAAGTGTTTTACAATAAAGCCAAACTTCTTCTTTTTGGTTTGCTTGATACCCGGAACCCAATCGTTTTTTTTAACAACGCTATGACAAATTTACTAAAGGGACAGATTCGCCATCCGTTTGACAAATCCGTATCTTTGTCTCGGAATTTTCTAGCAAGAATAATCAGTAATACTTAGCACACCTCAAGTCTGAATTTAAGTCTTCAAATCCACGTGAGTCCAGAAATATGCTAGCTGAAAATAGACTCGAAAATAGCAGACTGAGTACTTAGAATAATTTTGAACATTTTCTAAAATAGCGCAATTTTAGCTAGAAATAGATGAAAATTGAGTCGAAAATAGAAAAGTGTGAACTTTTTTCTAAAATAGCTAGAAATAGCTGAAAATAGAGTCGAAAATAGCAGACTAGAAGTGTGATTATATTTGATAATAGCTAGCTATTAGTTCTGATCTATTTTTAGCTAAAATTGCGCTATTATAGAAAACTTTTGAAATAATCTGCTCTTTCAAACTCTATTTTCAGCTATTATTAGCTACTTATTCTGCTACTGCTAGTGATGTAAATCAGTTGACCAATGCTTACAACAATAATTGCTAAACCCGGACCGAGATCATCAAAATGTTCATACTTTCATAAAGCTCCATTGAAAACTGCATCCTCCATCGTTTCCACAAGAATGTTTACCTTAGCATTAATGAAAATGATGAAATAATGAAAATAAAAAAAACTAGAGCCGTGCGGAATGGCACTGAGGCAGTGCGTATCACACCTGTATGGTGAATGGAATTCGAATGCAACATAATCACCATTCGGCAATCCCGTGACAATTCGGCAATTTCCGTTAGGATGAATGTCATTCGACAATTAATATTGAATTTCGCTTTGTGAATGCGGCGAGACTCTTTACATCCGGTATTTAGCAGTGATTAGTCAAGTCATAAAAATGTAACCTAAATTTGGTCCAAAAATTTAGAACCTTTATTTCGGATAAACAAGCCTCAAACTTGTTTATTAAAGGCGGGATTATAGCTATCGGTTATCCAATGATACATTTTTTTATTTATACATTTATCTTCCCAATGTTTTATTTTCACTGTCTTTGAGTAGAAATACCAATTGCTCGATCAGTCTTAATATATAAATTACCTTTCTCATGATCACGTGACGGTATGGACATAGTTCTGGTAAAAAAATAAAATACCATTTATATGCGCGATATGTTGCAGTATATGAGCCAGTAATCGTACTTTTAATACAAATCACATCGTCACAATCAAGTGATTTGACCAATGTTAAAACACAGTTGAGCCTGTAGTGGTCGGAAATATACGAAGCTAAATATGGTTCGTATGTCGAAATAACATGGGTATGGAAAGAACCATATTGTGTAGTTTTGTATCGGTTGACCACTTGTGCCAATTAGTTTTTATCTCTTATTGTACCATTATTTAGATTTCAAAATAATTCTTATGCGTTTTGGCTTCAAACTTTGTGTCAGAATTTATCAAGTCAATTTTATTTAGAAAAAGATTCTGTGGGAGAAACCTTTGAATATCTTTTGGAGGCAACACCCGCATCCAGAGCGGTTTTACCTTTATGAATGTTTAGGGCGGTTATAACCTCATCAAGCCGGGACTGTTTGGAATGTCGACTGCTTTTGCTAGAAGGGTAATTTCAGCTAATGCTTTATAGACATAATGCATTCCTTCCTAATTTATGAAGTGGCATATTAAAAATGAGTAAGACTACAGTCAGATATTTGTTTATTTTTCTTAACAAGAAGAATGAAAAGGAGCAAAATCACGATAATTAAGAAGGAAAATCAGAAAACCAAATTCATAAATAAAAACGTAGATAAAGGTAAAAAAATAAGTAGGGCCTACATGTACTTAACAATTGTATGACCTGTTACACAAACTTCTTAAATCTTTCTATACCAGCCGTTAATTTTTAAACGCCTAAAATATTTAAAGATAGCTTGCCAGGCAAGGTAATATACGCCCACTTTGAATAAAAATATTTAGCAGTACAGTAACAATCACCAGTATGAAATATTCGACCTTCAGTCATACACTTCTTTGGAACTCTTAAGGGCGATACTGAATAATACTGAGTATGAGTTATTGCCCTTGTTCTTGAAAAAGTGTTCAATTTTTAGCTCGTGAAAACTCTAGAACTCAATTTTCAGCACGATGAATAATAAAACCAAGTTTTGTCAAAATCTTGCAAGAATCATGCCTTTTAGTGTTTAAGCTAAAATTTGAAAGCGTTCTCAAGAACGAGGTCAATATCTCCTTTGAAACATTTTTTTATTTTGGATAGAATTTACCCTTGGGTGATAAGAAATCACTCATGCCAAGTTTCGTCAAAATCCGTCAAGAATTGTGCCTTCTAGAGTGTTTACGAGCTAAAAATTGAACGCGTTTTCAAGAACAAGGGCAATAATTCATACTAAATATTTTTCGATTCTTCTGATTTTCAGTAGGGTTCATCCTTGGGTGATTAAGAACACTCACACCAAGTTTCGTCAAAATCCGTCAAGAATTGTGCCTTTCATGTGGGTGTATAAAAACAAGAAACAAGGAAGTAAATAAGCTATTGTTGACTATATAGGTCATAACACAAAACACAGTAGTATAAGGCCTTTCAATATGGTCGCACTTTTCCCCAATTCCATTTCATTCCATGGGAAAAGTGTGACCATATTGAAAGGCCCCCCAAAAACCTAAAAAACCCTACATTTCATAAATTCTTACACCTATGCACCCTACATTTAATAAATTCTTACACCTATACACCCTACATTTCACAAATTCTTACACCAAAAACACCTTCAATCAATTCCTACATTCCATCAAAAAAGCATATTAAAAATACCCTTATATAGGATAACATAACATCCGGTTTTAATAGCCTCGTTTTAAATAATGTTATTTTTAGTCTAGAAACTTTTAGAAGGGAGATAACTCTTTTTTGAAAAAAACAAGACCACAATTTTCTACTCAATTTTTAAACCTTAAAAATGGCAAATAAAATACCAGTTCCAATCTTTAGATTATACGATCCGATTCGTTATTCGTTTAACAAGAAAAAAGAGGATTATATTATCATCTCACCGACTGTTGGTTCTAAATCCCAATTGAATGATGGTGGTAGAATTATCTTCGAGATAAATTCATTATCGAATTGGTTGCTTCTTTCCGATGCTTATTTCAGGTGCGATTTCAAAATTAAAGATGGAACTCCCAATGAAAATTGTGTACCACAAACTAATACAACGTTAGAAAACAATTTTTCCATCTTTATTTAGCGAGATGGTTTTAGAAGCTGGTTCAAATCCAATAGAAACATTTAAACACCCTGGGGAATTCGACACAATGTTGAAAACAGTTTTATATCCTAAAAGTAGTATAAGGACTTTCAATATGGTCGCACTTTCCCCAATTCCATTTCATTCCATGGGGGAAAAGTGCAACCATATTGAAAAGCCCCCCCAAAAAACCTAAACACCCTATATTTAATAAATTCTTACACTAAAAAAATTCTTACACCTATACACCCTACATTTCATAAATTCTTACACCTAAACACCCTACATTCCATCAACCCCCACCCCAAAAACCTATTCACCCTAAATTAAACGAAAAAAGCATATTAAAAATACCCTTATATAAAATAACTTCCTTGTTTCGCTTAACATCCGGTTCTTTAATAGCCTCGTTTTAAATAGTGTTATTTTTAGTCTAGAAACTTCTAGAAGGGAGATAACTCTTTTTTGAAAAAAAAAACAGACCACAATTTCTTCGTTAAATGAATTCATTTAAAAATAGGATGAGTTTAATTCTAAAACACGAACAACACAAATTCGAAGATTATTCGGGCGACGGTATCTTTTCATCAATATTTTCTCTAGGTAAAACAATAATTCCAAAAGTATCTAGGTTTGTTTCAAACAACAAATCACTTATTTCATCCGGAGCGAAAGCCGTCGGCTCAATCGCGGAAGCGGGAAAGAGTATAAGCGACACAGTGAAAAAGTCTGACGAGTTGAAAAAATTACAGCTAATAAGAGAACTGCATAACAGGAGATTACAAGAAAGGCAAGGGAAAGTTTTTAAAGTTATAGGATAAAAATGATTGTCGCTCACCCTCAAAATAATTATTTCGGTTCAGATATACAAAAATCATTGGGTTCTCTTCCTGGATTTCCATGGGCAAATATCCCGGAGAAAAACATCTTCCCGGTCATAATTACACCGGTCCAGGTACCAGGTTAGATCTACGCTTAGACGAAAACGATAAACCCAAACCGGGCGAAGAACCAGTCAATAGAGTTGACGCCGCTGTGCTTAAACACGACATACTATACAGAAACAAAGACATAAACTTCAGACACGAAGCAGGCAGACAAATGATAATCGAACTTGAAAATATTCCAAATCCAACTTTCAAAGAGAGAATGCAAAGGGCTCTGATCATTAAACTGTTAAAAGCAAAGATGAAAACTAAAAACTTTTTAAAAGTTAAAGTATTTGAAAAAGATGGAATATGGTCAGCCGATTTAATTAATATGCCACTCGAAAGAACAAATCATAGGAAGGTTTTATCAAAATGAACTTAAAAAACCGACTTTTAAAAGTGAATATCTTTCTCGATGAATATGGAACCGATACAACCACAAACTTTCAACTTATGAGATGGGCGAATGAGTTAAATATATCACCGTTTTATTATTGTATGAGAGATGAAATAAATGATCTCAAATATAAGAAAGGTAAATTTTACGCTATAACAAATATACATACTTCCGATCAAAAAGGAGTTCATCATTCTGCTTTGTACAAAGACTCTTCAAATGTCAATTTTTTTGGTTCTTATGGATTAGAACCAACTGAAGAGATAGTGCCATTGACTAATAGACCAATTAAATGTTCAATATTTCAAATTCAATTACCGGGACAAAAGTTTTGTGGTCAGCTTTCACTTTGGTTTTTATATCAATTAAGTTTAGGAAAACAGTTTGAAGAAATTGTAATGAATTTAAGTCAATAAAAATGGCGAATAAGTTTGGATTAGGTTCTTTACCTTTAGATACTAAAAAACCTAACATTACAGCATGGATAAATAAAGCGAAAGCTTACTTTGTGGATCAAATCGGAGACACTCTTCAAGGTGATTTAGATATGAACAATTTCAAAGTAACTAATCTAAAGTCTCCGGAAAACGATAATGACGCTAAATAAAAAAAAAGTAAGTAAGTAAATAAGAAACCATTTAGAAGATAAAATAAGTAATGTTAAAAGATTCTTCAAACGTCAACTAAATAATAAAATTTTTATGTATGATACTAAACTACAACAAGAGGTGGCAGGTTTAATAAGTTTTATTCAAAAACAATTAGTCAACGTAGTGAACAAAACTGAGTTACAAAATTTAGTTTCATTAATATCTAAATTAGATGATAAGATTACAAAACAAAAATTCGACATTCAACAATTAATAGATAACATTCCAGAGGAAAATGAAGATACGTTTCAACAGGAATTAAATGCTCTGGAAACTAAACTTAACAGTGAATTCCAAAAAGAACTAAGAAATAATAAACAACAAATACAAAACATAGATGATAGCGAAATCAAAACCTATATTCAACAACAAATACAAAACATAGATGATAGCGAAATCAAAACCTATATTCAACAACAAATACAAAATATTGATGATAGTGAAATTAAAACCTATATTCAACAACAAATACAAAATATTGATGATAGTGTTATTCAACAACAGATAACCACTATTAATAACGTAGTTTTAAAACAGGACAAAAATATAGTCGCATTAGAAAAGTATCTCAAGAAAGAAAATAAATCATATCATTTCAATCTTCCATTTGGAAATTTGGGTGGTGGTGGTTCTGTTACTGATAATATTGATAGATCAAAAGACTATGAATATAAAAAATACGGATTTAAAGTAAATATAATCTACCAATTATGACTTTTTACGAACGACAGACTTTGAATACATAAATCTATATTTTGTTATTAAAATTTTTTTACACGAACATACCTATTCAACTGATTTATTTACCTCAGTCGATATTCATAAAAGTCAACAACATAAACAATTTATAATATTTTCATCAATAATTGAACGTAATGATGGAACAGAAGTTGGAGGTATATATACCTGTAGATGTGCGATAAACATCAATATCGAAAAACCAAAATTTTCAGTTCATCTAAATAAGATTAATGATTCGAAAAAAACAAATATCGTTAGTTACTAACGATATTTGTAGAAGTTATTTTTTATTAAACCTGAAATAATTATGACAGATTATGAAAAAATAAAGCATAAACAACTTATTGGGCAACCTATTGTATTTTTTAGTGTATCAGAAGTTCACTTAATTTAATTACCTAAAATATGGAACTAGAAAGCAGACAAAACTACATGATAGAAAAACAAAACGAACTAAAAGAAAAACTAAAACACTTCAACAAATGTAGAAAAACATGGAGTAGAATTGATTCTGTTTTCAAAACATTAAGCACAGTTCTACTAGTAGGGATAATGGTGGCAACAGCCGTAACCGGTGGATTAATGCTTCCAATAATTGTCCCAACTGTATTAGCTGCGTTCACTGGCGTTCAATCTTCATCTTGTGGATTGATTACTTTAGGTTTTACATCAAAACCGAAATCTCATTATAAAAAGAAAACAGAAATTTTAAATACATATCTTAATAAATTATTCATTTTTTTCGAAAAATTCAGAGAAGATAAGAACATAACCATTGAAGAATTAGAAAAATTTAATGAAACTTTAGATAAATTTGATGTAGAAATATCATCAATAAAAGTTAAAAATTCTTAGTTAAATTTTAGACGATGAAACATTCATATCAAATGAATTTTTTTCCAGTATTATTAACCTTGTCTCTGATAAATTTACAACATTTAAAGGACAAATTGAATTAGATGGAGAGATTATTCAAGATGGAGGACACAAACAAAAAATGGAATTTGTAGGCTTTAATGCCAAAACTTTTCGTAATTTCTTCGCAACTGTGGATGTAAATTCGGATGCTTCTGATTGGTATTTCTCAGGAAAAATCATTTTACGTAGAAACAATTTCAAAGAAATAAAGTGATCAAAAAAGGGTAGTGGTGTTACCTTACTCAAAAAGATCAATGAATATAGTGACGGTATAAATTGTTACATACCAAGAGATGGATACTGCTTTGTAAAGTGCGTAAATCACATCATGAACAAAGACTATACAAAAGAATTTCAAGATTTCATCAACAGTTTTTGAAAATCAAACAGAAAAAGAGTCATGACAACTGCTAGAATCTGTGAATTCAATAAGAAATTTAATGCTAATTTTCAAATTTGTATGCCCAAACATAGACATTTTCAACCACAGAAAGTAGATTGGATTAGAGGAAGTAGAGGAATTAGATTGGGTATTTTACTTACATAAATCACATTTCTGTCTCATTAGAAGAAATAACAAAACCTTAGACATTAAAGAAATAGATAATTACGATGAAAACGTATGTAGAACTTGTAAAGATGATAATGCGGTAACACAAGTTTCACCTCTAAAACTAAACGTTTTTCCAACAATTCACGATGATTGTTTATACGCATGGGATATATAGCGAAAAAGAAACGAATAAAGCCATTCCTTATTCTTGCACGTTGATTAATTTAGAAAAACTAAGAAAAATGTTAGACAGAATAAAACATAATTTTCCAGATTTAAATCCCACCGATAGTGTACCAGAAGAATTTTATAATAAATTAATGAATATAGTAGAAATATTTGTGGGTAAAGATTGCATCGATCAAATGTTGCAACGTTTAAGAAAAATAGATCAAAAAAGAATAACATTAATTTCTCATAACGTGAGCGGTTTTGATAACTGGATCGTGCTTAAAAATGCGAAAAAACTAACGCAATGTCCACTAATAACAGCTAGAGGCAGTCTGTCTCTGCCTTTAACTAATTCATTCACCGATGAATATTTACAGAAAAAATGGAAAAGACAAAAACAAATAATGGGCAACTCTAATTGTTTGCAAAAATATTAATTTCATATGTTCCTATCAACATGAAAAATCTAGTTTGGCGGCATGGGGATATTCATCTAATCTACCGATGAATTTGAGAAAGATCACTGATATTAATATTGCAAAATACACCTTAGATAATTGGGAATCTTTAAGCCACTAATGGGAACCTTGCGCTAAAAGAGATACGTTATGTCTCGGAACTTGTTTGATAAAATATAACAAAGTTATGAAAGAAGTTGTATTCCAGAATATTTCCAATAATCTAACGGCTCCTTCTTTATCTTTAAAGGGTTGGTATTATTTATATCATTACAATAAAGAAATGGTTGAAGAAGAATGGTATGAAAGTACTAGAATGGTTCCGAAACACACCGAAAAAGAAAACGTAGAAAAAGTTTACTCACAATCCCTTTTATAAGAAGGAAGAGTTTCGGCAAATCGAAAATCATTTGAAACGAATAAAATGGATGAAATTTGTAATGTATTAAAGGAGTTTAGTGAAAGTGATAATATAATTGATTTATTTAAATAGTATAGTAAAAGTGAAAGAGATAAAACGGAAGTTAATTCAAAACTTAAAAAAATAAAATGTACTATACTTTGATGGCCTTTAATGGCCTTTGATGCTAACGGTTTATACGCTTCAGCAATGTCAGATTTAGACGGTGAATATCCTTAAGCGGAAAGTGCGAGAGCCTTTCAACCGAAAAAAGAAGAAGAAGAATTCGTTAAGCTTTAATGAGCAGAAATTCAGATATAGAACGGCTATTTTAAAAGTCTGGTTTAAATATCCTACCAACATGTTCTTCCAACTCATACCAGCTAAAGATAAAATTACTTTTACGAACAAAGAAGGTAATAAGGAAACTGGCACTAAAATCAGGTTCAGAAATGGTTTCTGTCACAACGTTTTAACATCGGTCGATATTCAAGAAATAGTTAAAGCCGGTGGACGAATTATTAGAATATTAGATGGTATAGTATACGAAGAAAATTTTAAAACTCCACCCTATAGAGATTATATTTTAATTTTGAGAGATTTAAGAAATATATATAAACGAGAAGGTAATATCGTAGGTAGTAATTGTATGAAATTATTAGGTAATTCATTGTATGGTAAATCTATTCAGTAGGATATAACTACATCGAGACATCTATGGAGTGAAGCGACTTTAAAAGCCAACTTCGATTCGCACGTTAAAAGCTTTCCTAAAGTAAATGAGACTCAATATATACCTTGAGTTAAATGAAGAAGAAAAAGAATTTGACTGTTCACCTCCTAAATCTACACGACGAACACCTAGTCATTTGGGGTCATTCGTATTATCTCACAGTAAAAAAATAATTGGTGGATTTTATAAGCCGGAAATATACTATACAGATAATGATAGTTTATACATTTCGTCTAGCAATTGGGATAAATTAAATGAAGCTGGGTTGGTGTCCGAAAATGATTATTGTAAAGGAAAGAATGATTACGGTGATGGTGGAATTATATCTGGTTTATATTTAGCGCCAAAAGTTAAATATAATATTTTAACTTCCAGTGGTGTTTTAAAAGAAAACAAAACGTTTAAGGGTTACTCCAATGATAAGATAGCCGTAGAAGATTATATTCGATTAGCTAGTGGACATGATGTGACGAATGAATTTAAGAAACCACGGGAAAAAAGTTTCACCAATGGAGTAGTTATTCCAAAGGATGATGATAAACAAAAGAAAGTTTTTAGAAGTTATTTGAATAATGTTAAAAGAAAACCACCAAACAGTGAAGGAATTATGTATCCTTACAACAACAAAGATGACTTGAGTTTGGATGAAAACTATGAATTTGATGATTTCGATTATCTAACTATTCAAGAAGAGAATGAAGAGTGTTAATTCTTTTGTTTTAAATGAAGTTGAATAACAATTTCCTCGTTACCAAAATCCAGAAACCTATTTTTACCATCTTTGATTTCCAGATTTATATCTTTAATCTTTAAGGAATTAAGTAGTAAATATGTTGTTTGAAATGGCTTCTCTATAATTCTATATCCAATCGGTACAGTGAATGATGGAAGACTGTAAATAATCTGACGTTTGTATTTATTGAAAAATCCACCGTTTATCAAATTGCAATGTATATTTATCACATCGATATCATTCTCGATATTAGCTTTGTGTGGTGCTAATGTTGATTGTGTATATATCTGTTTATCAAAGACTAGTAAAGTATTCAATGAATTTTCTACATTGAAATCAACTTGACTATTATTTCTCAATATCAATTTTATTTTGTTCAGGTTCAAATGACCTTCGAATTCAATATTGTTTTTACCATTTACATTTCCTCCATATTCAAATAGGTAAGCGTTAATGGCTACGTATTCATACCTTCATGGTAGTAAACGTATGTTTTTTTCAACAAAATTTGCATTAATCTTTTAATCTAACCAAGTAAATTTAATTGCCATTATTTATGTTTTTCTTTCGTGTAAATTATACTCCGAGATAATCCATCCATTTAAATTACTATTCGGGTATAATTAAAATTCAAAGTTAGTTCTAATCAATTTACAATTCACTAATCCCTCTTATTTTATCAAATATTTCTCATGTTTATTTATTTTATATTTTTGTATTCTTGATTTCTGTTTATTTATGTTTTTCATTTATGTAAATTGTACTCTGAGATAATCTAATCCTCCTGAATTATTACTCCCTTACGGGCTTTTGCAAGTAGGCTTGCGATAAAACTTTTATCCTTTCTTTTTTTTGAGTTTTCTATGGGCTTGGTGGTTCGCCTACAAGGGGAGGCCTCAACTCCCTGGCCACACATAGCATGCTGGGGTTGAGCCTCAGCTGATAGGGTAGGACTTATGCTGGAGATATCTTGAATTTTTTCAAGACCTGATGGTGGTCTTTCATTTGCGATGTCATCGTGAGGCGTTGAGGCATTCCGCCTCCTTTCTAGCATTTGATGGTTGAGTTCAAGATATAGGCTGGAGTTTTGCTCTGATTCAGATATTGCTTCCGATGTATAGCTCGATGAATCGCTATCATCAGTTGAGTCTTGATCTAAAGATAGATCTGACATGTCCTGAGAGTTCAGCCTACTGCTTGCAAGGTCCATATGCCTGGGTTTGGATATTTTTCTATATTTACAATTTCTATTTTATTTTCATTTTTTTACCATTTTCACTTATTTCATTTTTAGAAGTATTTACATTTTTAGATTTTTCAGATTGTTTTGTAACATTTTTGGATTTTTTATTTTCTTGTGCAATATTTTTTTTTGTATTTACAATGTTTTCAGTTTTATCATTTTTTTGTTCAATTTAATCAACCGGTTTTCGAAATATTATCCTTTTTCCAGTGTCGAGGAATGGTTATGGAATTATATTGAATTTGCGATTTATATGATGATCAAGTTAATACAGGTTTTTGATTTCCTAAAAATTATTGAGTGAATCATCTCATATCTTTGATCAGTTGAGGATTAGGATTATTTTTTATTTCTTAATTAGTTGAGTCATATCTTTGATCAATTGAGGATTATAGAAATATTGGATTAGATTTTGATTATATCTGTGTAATAATTCAGGAAGATTAGATTATCCCAGAGTACAATTTACATAAATGAAAAACATAAATAAAGAGACATCAAGAATAAAAAAATTTGAAAATAAACAAACATGAGAAATATATGATAAAATAAGCGGGATTAGTGAATTGTAAATTGGTTAGAACTAACTTTGAATTTTGATTATACCCGAGTAGTAATTTAAATGGATGGATTATCTCGGAGTATAATTTACATAAAAGAAAAAAATTATTGCAATTAAATTTACTTGGTCCGATTAAAAGATTAATGCAAATTTTATAGAAGAAAGTTTGTTATATGCACGAGAAACAAATGTCAAAATCCTAACATATACAATATATACAAAAAAAATAAAATATCTAAGTATATATAAGATGAAATAAAATATACCACAGTCAAAATAAATTGTCTGATCTAGTTTGATTCTCCCAAATGTACAGGCCTAGGGTGGAGCAGACACTTTATTTAGAAATTAGGATTAAGGGTCTTGATATTGGGTTTTCTTCTGTTCTTATTCTGATCTGAAATTAGAAAAATAACTCGCCCGAATGGCGAGAAGTATATTATCTGTTATGTACTATGAACAATATTATCATTTAAGTTCTTATTTTTTGAATATGCAACTATAATTTTCTGCTTATAGACATGGGGGAATTTCTCTTGAAGGCTCCTTTATTGGGCATGAACTATCTTGCTTGCTCGATTGCTGGTTGTATTGAACAGAGTTAGACATGAAAATAACATTATGTGATATTCACGCGTCTGGGGGCACTATGTGATTGAGTTTGTACCAATTCCATTACTGTGGACTGTGCAAAAATTGGCCATGTAGGGGCTTCGTCTTTGACTGGCCAGTACGCCATATTGGATATTCGTTACTGGCCATATTTGAGAAATTATAGCATTTCTACCCATTGTACACCTAAATATGTTAGATTGGCATCTCAGGACCTCAATGGCACCAACAATTGCATTCATAATTCCAAATAAGACCATTGGAAAAAATTTGCCATTTTTCATTATCCATATTGGCTATCCGCCACTGGCCACAAAAATTGGCCGGCCACTGAAGTAATGACGAAGTGTCAATTGACACTTGTCGTAATGGCGGCCACTTTATCTGGAAAACGCGCACCTAAGCCGACTACATCAACCACATCAACTTATATCACCTCCCTACCACCAGAAGCAAAGCAGAGATACGAGACGAAGCTCTTGTTTGGTGCAGGAGCCAGAACATTACCCGACCCATACAGTTTGATAGAGAAATGGAGCACAAACCCCGACACATGGCCAGATTTGACGTTTGGTGATATTTACATCTACCTGATAGACACACCATCAATTTTCACGAAGGAGTAGATGAAAGCCTACAAATCTCTTGAGGCATACAAGTAAGTTCGCACTACAAAATAATTTGCAAAACAAAGCAGAAAAAAAATAGTCATTTCGAAAACAATGCAGTGCGTGCGTACTGCAAAAAAAAAACATTTGCAAAACAAAACGTTCTATGGAACGCACTGCAACTAGAACCGTTATAACGGTACCGAAGCAGTGCTCATCCAACCTGATACATCGATAAAACGTTGCATTTTAAAGTCACAATGGGTTTTTTTCCCCTATAGAAAAGCATGTAAACATTCAATAGTAAAAAAATCGTTTAAACCGTTTAACGTTCGGTAGTGAAGAGACGCATAAATTTGGTACCATTCAGTACAAAAGGTGTTAACATTCGGTAGAAAAAGTCGAATTTTCAAATAGCTGTAAAGTTAAATTCGCACAACAAAAATGAAAATATGTTTGGAAAGGTCTCGTAAAGTACAATAACTTGTGTACGGTCAAGAGGTCAACAAAGGTCAAATAAAAGAGATATAAATCTTAAAAGTGTTGAATATTGCTGTTTTGGGACCTCCGTTAAAGCTGAAATATATGTCGGACATCAAAGATAAAAGTATGAATGGACATCATAGATCAATAATCTTTGAGCTTGTAAAGACCAAAGTCATGCATGTAAATAGTCAAAATATTAAAATTTTATAAATTGTAAAACCTATCCCCTTTTCAAAGTAAAAGGCCCAAACAAAATGTAACTCTATCACTTATTGTCCCAAATAGTGATTTATTTTTATGTAAAATTTTGATGGTGACAAATGTAAACTTTTCGAGTTATAACAATTTGAAATATTTAAGGTAAAGGTAAAAGTAACCCGGATTTGTCTCTAATAATGTGTTCAATGTTAAATAATGTTCAAAATTTCAAGTGTTTACAATCGTTAGATCATGAGGTATTCGTAGTTAAAAGTTTTTTAAGGCAATGGTGACTGTCGGTGGATTATTGAAACCGTTAAATTACGCACAGTTACTATAGAAGTCAATACAAAATTTTCAAATTCTAAAAAACGCAATTTTAATCAAAATACCAAGTGTTATATATCATTTGAAAGAATATATTGTGTGTAATAAGGGCATAAGAGAAATTTTCACGTATGTAAATTAGGTCACGTGAAAGAGCTTTCAAAGTTAAAAATCGCGATTTTCAAATGGGCAACAACTTTTGCTCAGGTCAAAAGGTCAACAAAGGTCAAATAAAAGTAATATGAGCCTTTGAAGTTTCGAAAATTGCTGTTTTCGTACGTCCGCAAAACCGGAAGTATATACCGGACAAGGTAAGATCAAAATATCAAGTGTGATATATCACCAAAAAGGAGAGATCATGCACTCTAAGAAGATATAAGAAATTTTGTCGTATATTAATTAGATCACATGACAGAGCTCTTCAAAGTTAAAAATCGAGATTTTCAAATGGCTGTAGAACCGGAAGTTAACGATGCACAACAAAAGTGAAGATATTATCGGATATATCTCGAAAGGGGCAACAACTTTTGTTCAGGACACAAGGGCACCAAAGGTCAAAGTAGTTAGAGCCTTAATAGTTTTTACAATTACTGAAAACATAAAACCGGAAATAAAAAAATTACAGAGCCAAAATGCAAAAATCGGCTTCTTACATTTTGTTAGCAATCGATTGCAGATTATTTAGACACCAAAATCACACAAATCAGATTTACCCCTGAAGCTTAATATCGATTTTTACCATCACATCAAGATGGCGTCTAATACGTTACTTCTGGTTCAAATTTGTTCATTCCAAAATCGTTATAGGGACAATTTTAACTAATTGCAAAAAGAATTTTTGGAAGTTTAGAGGCGAATGACGTCAAAACCGGAAGTGATATCGAAATTTTGAAAATAGATTTTTGTCAGGAATCAAAATGCTTATCTACTAAAATTAAAA